AAAAGTTCGGCAGTTCGAATCCCTAGCACCGCGTAATGGAGTGAGCTCCCGTTACTTGTCGCAGCTTCTGCTTGTCCCTAGCAGTTCAAAAGCACGAACAAAAAATGCAAGTAGAAAAATAGGGACCACCTTTGGTGGGAAGGGAACAGCGTTCCGTGCACCTTCGTCCTTTAGTCATGCCGGCCACATGATCATGGAGACGTCTTCAGACAACGCTGGCTCTTAGGCTTTGAAACAGAGATGAGCAGATCCCGCCCCCTAGAGTTGGGAATGACTAGCACATATGTGCGAGGGGAACCTTTACCTTTACCTTGCTAACTTATCAAAGTGATTCACTTAACTACTGAGTCAGGAAAGGTCATAAAGTGGGGCAAAATTCCCTTAACAAATGTCTCGCTTAGCAACAGAAATTTGGGGCTCAATTGTGGCCATAAGTTGAGGACTGCCTGTATGTAAGTCTAAGAGTGTTAATGGCATTGTTGCAGCTCCAGCAACTCTTTGTAGGTTCCAGTGAACTGGGCATCCCCACAGCCTCTGCTTATCCTTCCCGGGGCTTACCTGAATAATGGTGTTCCCATTCATGACGTCAAAAACTTGCATGTTGCTGCGATATCCCCATGACCTTACGTCAAGAGAGGTGCACATCTCCCACTTGTGGTCTAGAAGAGAGCTGGGCTCGAATTTATCCTGGCAGTTGTAGTAGCCCCCATGTTTGCAGGAGCAATTGGCGCCCCATCGATCGTTCACCACCACGGTATCCTGGAAAGAGAAAGCCAGAAGGAACCTTGGAAGTTGGTGGCTTGCATTGCTGTCTTTTAAAGGCTTTGGGGCAGCCCTTGCCAGCAACCTCCAAAGTGGGCTGACTCACACAATGTTATTCCGTCTGAGCTCTTCAACTGTGGATAGATCCGTCCAAATCAAGGGAAAGCATCCCTTGGGATGGGAGGGAAGCGTCCTGCAAATATCAATCAAATGCAATTCTCAGAAGCCCCCATCAGCTTGGTTAGGGATTCTGAAAATCCCAGTTCATCTACATTAATTTTTTCTCAATCTTAGCAACTTTAAGAGGGGCGGACAGAAATGCTGGCTGGGGAATTCTGGGAATTGAAATCCACAATCTTATAGTTGCCAAGGTTGAAAAAACACTGATCTACTTCTTGAGGGCTACAGGATGCCTAGCCCAGAATCTGTTTTCAAATTTGTGTCAGAAGGCAAGGGTTAGGGATGGGTTGTAGCTATCCATCCCTTCAGTGTGACGCGATGGCTCAGTGGCTAAGACGCTGAGCTTATCAATTGGAAGGTCGGCAGTTCAGTGGTTCAAATCCCTGGCGCTGCATAACGGAGTGAGCTCCCGTTACTTGTCCCAGCTTCTGCCAACCCAGAAGTTCGAAAGCATGTAAAAATGCAAGTAGAAAAATAGGAACCACCTTTGCTGGGAAGGTAACAGTGTTCTGTATGCCTTCGGCATTTAGTCATGCTGGCCACATGACCATGGAGACGTCTTCGGACAGTGCTGATTCTTTGGCTTTGTAACAGAGATGAGCACTGCCCCCTAGAGTCAGGAACGACTAGCACATATGTACGAGGGGAACCTTTATTCCTCCCTTCAGAGAGGTAACAACATACAGAAGGGAAAGTAAAAGGATGTCTACAAAACAAAGAACATGCTTTATTTTGATCCCAGAACAAAACAAATCCAGTGAAAGTGTTTTCTGTACATGGG